AATGCCGAGTTTGTAGGTGAAATCCTTAAAAAGCAAAGAGAATGTGCTGCTGAAGGTGGTGTCTGCCTTACAGCCTTGCTGGGTGGCTGGATGCAGCAGTCGGAGCGGTGTTTGGCAGGTGATGCTGTGAATTCTGAAAAACACTGTGCCACGTTGTGGTTGTTCATGCCAGTACTACGTCTTCCAGAACACAAAGGCACTGGAGAGTGAGCATTTGACGAGGTGTTTCTTCGTTAAGACAAAACGCAAGCACTCCGTGACCTCAGAATGGGGAAAACATTGTTCCTGGAGTAGGAAAAGGGAAGTGCTCCCATGTGTAGTAAAATGAGGAACAATTCTACAATTGTTTCCTGTTCCAAATGTGGCACTAAAAAAAGCAGTAATAATGTAAAGGCTTTAAACTGCCAAGGCGTTTGACCTGCTTACGTGAAATTGGTGCTCTGGATTGCTTTCTAGAGGAGCCTCTCTCCCTTCCCTGCCGGAGACTGATCTCCAGGGGCTGAAGTTTGCTGCTGTTCCATTTGGGAAGCGTGGGACCTCTAGAGATGGCAGCGTTAGTGCTGGAACCGGGCAGAGGTGTTCGTGATCTCAGAGGTGAAAAGCACACTCAGGATAAGAAATGTATTTGTCTCTTTAATTGAAGTTTTTAGGAATTGTTTCCCTTTGTCTTTTCCCTCCCCCGGCAGAAGGGAATTCAGGAAGATGGGATTACCGTGTGATACAGCTGACCTGTCGTGCCGCCTTTCCGCGTTTTCTCGATCTGTGTTCCGGGAAGGAACTCCCTCTCTTTCCCGTGAGTCTACCCTGTCCTTGCTCTTCTCATGAGTTGATAGAGGGTTTCCCGCCGAGGCAATGGAGGAGCAGTGCGGGAGGCGGCAGCCTGGCTTGGCTGCCCTGGGTGCCGCAGGGAGCCCCGGTGCCTGCGCCGGAGGATGCCGCGGCGCGGCGGGGCGGGAGGCGGCCCTGCCTTTTGGCTTGTGTAAGCGGCGACTTTCTGCTGTGATTAATAATTGTAATAAAAGCACGTTCGCATCCCGCTGCACCGCCGCCTTCTC